CCTCAAACTCCCAAAACAGAAGTGGGCAGACGTCAGCATGGACTACATAATGGGGTTACCTAATCAGAGGTAGGGAACGATGGAATTCTCACCATCGTAGATCGAGCCACAAAGATGGTGCACCTTACACCAACCAAACAGACTATTATGGCTGCTGATACTGCCCAAGTCTACTAAAATACAGTAGGAAAATTGCATGGGATTCCTCATTCAATCATGAGTGACAGAGACCCCCGCTTTGTGTCCAAGTTTTGGCGGGAGCTGTGGAACATTCTGGGAATCACCTTGAGGATGTCCAGTGCCTACCACCCTCAGACGGATTGTCAAACTAAGGCAATGAATAGGGTGGTAGAGATGGTGCTGTGTTGTATACTGCACGCTGGGTAGGAAGGTTTGAACTTGGAGCGACTGTTATCCACCGTGGAGTTCGTCATCAACAAAAGTCCAACGCAGGCCACTGGGTACACGCCATTCTATCTGAATTATGGCTTCCATCCATGTACTCCGATGGACCTTGTCCGCAACACTGACTTCACCTTGATTGAAGGAGTCAACCAATTTGTGGAGCGGATGGAAGGGAACTTCACTATAACAGTTCAATTTTTGCATCGGGCTCAAGACAAAATGAGGATGCAAGCCGACCAGAAGAGAAGGGAACAGAGGTTCAGTAGTGGGGATCAGGTGTTGCTCTCGACAGAGCATTTGAAAATGAAGAATACACTGATCCGGAAGCTAAAGAAGCGGTTCGTTGGGCCATTCTTTGTTGTCCGTCGGGTGGGATAAGTGGCCTACATGCTCGACTTACAAGAAAAGTGGAAGATCCACAATGTCTTCCACGTCAGCTTGTTGCACTCATTTAGGACGAGTACTTGGATGCAACCCACTACATCTGGTCAGGTGGAGGAGTTGGAGCCCGAGGAGGATGAGCCGTATGAGATCGAGAAGTTACTGCGTTGGCGATGGACCGGCCTCAGTTCCAAGAGGCAAAAGGAGTTTTTGGTGTTGTGGAAAGATTATTCACTCGACGATGCCTCTTGGACGCTAGAAGTGAATTTCACTTACCCAGAGGAACTAAAGAAGATGATTCAGAGGGACAAACCAATAGAGGATAACTAGGTCCACTGGTTCACTTAAGGTTTCGAGGGCGAAACTACCCCCAGGGGGAAGTATTGTGGTGTAGTTAATGTTTCTCTAAATAGGAGCTGGGAAACGGAATGATTAAGATTCTCATGGGAAAGTAGATTCTATTAGGAGTCCGTAGGTTTTTGACCCACCCTAATTGGCTTAGCGGTTGAGGAGATATGGTTAGTTGAACATCTAGTACGTTAGGGCCCTCTCCTGGACCGTATTTGGGGATGAGATACTATCGTTGGATATGATACGATACGGTGCACTGCATTGTCATGTAACACATGCTTGTGGCCGCCCCCAAAGGGTGACCACCTGACGCAGTACTGTTACCGTTGTTTCCCCTGCCTCGCGCCTCCCAGCGGCTGCACCCGCGAGCTGCACGGCACCGCGCACCCACCGCGCGCACAGCCGCCCCGCGCCCGGCCATCCCTGCGGCCTGGGCCCACGCTGTGTACCCGAAGACACAAGCGCCCTGGAAAGCCCGTCGGCGATCCGGCGGAGGAGGCCCCGTGGCCTCATTGGGCACCTCGGCGGGCGCCATCGCCCGCATCGAACCGAAGACCATGCCAATAATAATACATGAGCCTGATGGTTGCAATTATAAGAAATATCATATCTTTCCCATCATTGATCCAAATGAGATGTTCTTTCCCTCGTTGAATAAAAGACCAAAATTTCATCTCATTCTATCCATATCTTCCCACTCAAATCTGGATTCTTGAGAGAAAATTTTTGATATCTTTGTAACCATTGGATACCTAGAGCCCAAACTTTGGCACCGAATAAAAAATCTAACTAATTCAGAAAAGGTCAGAAGACACCTGAGTACGTAAAAAATGTCAGAAGAATGTAATGACCTCATCTAAACTATAACCTGTTCTGAAAATAGGTGCACAACCAAGTCTAGGCTCGCTGGAAGTTTTAGTTGGTTGTAAACTATGCCGACATGCTCCCATGGGCGATACTACCCGATTCCAACCCCTGCGATCAAACTCCCTGTACGGGCTGGAAGCTCACCCACCTCTCCGTAATCCTTCCGGTTTACATTGTCTTTGGAGTGTGGAGATCGACCATGCGGCTCCTTAAGCCATGGCGTTTGCGGGACCCGTGTCTGACTGCATGGTTTTTGGGGGCTTTCTTTTCTCTCGGCTTCCGCCTGCATTATGTTCCGGCGGGCTTCAAGGCCTCTCCCTTATCCATGTTTCCCCATGGCTACTTTGTGTTTGGTTTGTCGACATTGATAATCCGGCCGGGTGGATGGGATGGGCCTCCTGCGGCCCCATGGATGGCCCTTGGCCGTACGCTACGATCTTGGTGCATTGCTCCGATGTCTCGACGTGGAGCTCCTTAGTGTGCCCCTTTGAGCCTTTTGGTATAGTTTTGCCACACACGCATGGGTTCCCGGGTGGTTCTGAGCAATGAAGAATCGACGGGGGTAATTCCATTACATTGCTATAAGTAGTGTCTCGCTAATGCTTCCACGGTGCTACATGAGTTTTTGTACATTGCCGGCCATGCTGGATGGTGCTTCACACCTGCTTCGTGCCTACGGTGGCTACGCTAACAGGCCCTGTGGCCCACAGGCTGTGGGCATCCCCCGGAGCATCCTGCATCCCTGCGACATTATCCTGGTGCTGGGAAGATGTTGCCACTAGCGTTCGCAATCATCCTAAGCTGAGTCTGGGCTACGTGCCACTGGTCCTGGCCCTCACAGGGCGCTAGCTGAGCTCTACTAAAGGAGCTCTTTTGTTAATTGGTGCCCCCAGTAGAAGCCGATTTCAACATACTTCTGCACATAGAGCATATTGAAAGCAGCTTGCTTCATTCAATATCTGTTGAAAAGACGATATGTATTCTTGAAAAATATCCTCTTGTTTCCTGTTGTTCCATGTCTTGCATGCGTGATTGCAGGTTCAGCACCACAACCATTGTGGGCAAGTATTGAGGGATCCAAATTGGCATTGTGAGCACGTCCTGAAGAGGCACAGAGGATTGGTGCGGTCATTGGCTATGACCAAGGACTGGCTGATGTCTGTGTCATCAGACAACACTTTATGTGTGTGGAGATTTGGGAATTGGGAGTTCACACGTGTAGTAGTGCTTGAGGGTCACACGGGTGGAGTGGGACCATTGGCAGTCAATTTCTCTGGGTCACATGATCTAGCCACAAAGATTGGCAGTTTCGGATTTGGGATTGCGTGGATGTGCTAGAAGGCCATACCAGGTGGCTCCGAGCGCTGGTGGTAACAAAATATCATTTATATTGTGGTTCTGGTGATTGCCACATTCGTGTATGGAGGCTCGGAACATGGAGGTGTGAATCTATACTTCACGAGCACACCAAGGAAGTGCCCTCATTGGCCATCAATGATTGTTTCCTGTTCTCCACTTCGATGGATAAAACCATTCGAATATGGAGGACAGAGGATGGTGAGTGCCAACAAGTGCTTCAAGGGCACTCCAGCTCTGTGTGGTGTTTGGCAATCAGTGGTGACTTTTGTTTTCGAGCTCCATTGGAGCCACTCGTGGCACAACCGGAGTATTCGTGTTTGAAGCCTTGCCACTTGGGTCTGTGTCAGAGAAGTCAGTGGGCACAACAACAATGTGAATTCAAAGGCAGCCAGGGACGACTTGTTGATTTCCAGCTCAAGTGACAAGACTGTCAGGGTATGGAGGCTTGGCACTTGGGAATGTATTCGAGCCCTTGGAAGGCGATACCGGTTTAGTGACAGCAGTGGCGGGCACTGAAGGATGCCTTTTTTCTGGGTCCAATGACAGAACCGTTGTAGTGTGGGGTGCAGTGGTGTGGAGGTAGTATGTTGACTTATGGTACTTGAGATCTTCAGTGAATTTGTCAATTCGGATATTGTTTCGTGCTTGCAATGCACTTGTGAAAACACATTGCACTGTTGATGTTTACAAAGATGTCATTAAACACATTTATCGAAAAACATGTGTCAATACAGTGTCAAGAAAAACGTGAAATATTCCAACCAGCTCTCAACGGTCCACCACCAGACCTCTCTTTGGCAGCAACACGACATTTTTGTTACAACCGAGAACGCACGATGAGTGTGTGTCACATCATTTGTCAGATGACGTATTCTGTGTGTTAACGTGTTGGTACCTTGATGGTGACCTTTTCGCACCCAGCCTGGTCGCCTCTTAGTTATTGTGCCCCTTCAATGGTAGCAAGTGTTGTCCCTCCACTGGCTTGAAAACTCCAAAGGAGCTGCGGCAGGGGGAGTTCTGTGGCAATATGAGTTCACGTTGTTGCCATCAAATCGACGGACAAGAAGCGAAGAAGAGGCCAAAATGATCATTGGCACACAAGCCATGACTTGTTCAGAATCCTCCCTGCAATCTTGCAATCTTCATGGAGGCTCCAAAAGTATCGTGTCACCACGCCTAATATTGTGCAACGATGAATTCTTCAAGGTCCATGCATTTACAAGGCAACAGCTCTTGCAGCGAATGACAGAGTTGAGGACTGCAATCGCGTCATTCGCTTGCCGGGGGATGCGCTCCCCGACTTCAAGGGGCAATCGGTTCTCCTCATTCTGCTTCATCTGTGTAGACTGAAAAGACTTGGATGGGCTGTTCAATGCAAAACTGACTACAGACAGCAAGCAACAACTTTAAAGTCAGAGAATCTTCACCCTCACATAATTAACTCATTGCTGAGGTATTCAGCGTCAACCCCACAACATCCACCCTCCTTCCATGATGTTGCACCATGCACAATGCATTGGAAGTAGCTGAATGATAAGATTGAGTTCACTAGCTGAAAAATTTTCAAGCGCAAGTCGCCCTGTTCAGGTGAACAGGCTCTAAGGGACCAAAAAGTGCTACAGCAACTGGCAGCGCCATCACTCTCGAGAGCCGAAGACAAATGCTGCATGAAGTGCTCCTATCGCGCCCCCCAGTGTGGGACGCCCTTGCCTCTTCTTTGTTTCTGGCATCTGCACAGTACTCAAACAATATACATTCAGTGTCGTCTGGACAAACACTGGTTCAATATGCCTATATGCACAGTTCTGCCTTTCATAGTTCTGGTTCGACTCCTGCTGAACTTGGCAAAACGCTGCAACTCAGTAGATGACTGGCATTCCTGGTACCTTGCAACTGTTTTAGGAATGCTGTTTGTCTCTCAACTGGCGTTCACCTGCCTCTTACTTCGTGCACAAGCGAACTCAACAGAGGGCCATGCAAGCCAGTATCCAGGACAATGAAAGAAGTTATCAGTGTACTGCAAGCAACAGGATGGTGCCCACTCGCCACATTCAGGACCCACAATGTTGAAAATTACACATGCTGAGCACATGCACCTACCATACTAAGAGACATCTTTCTACTATTGACAGCCTTTTGAGCAGCGGGTTGGGAAAAAGGCAAAGGGCTGTGTACAAAGTCAAGCACCACGATGGCCAGCAGGGTGCCAGGTCTCCACAAGGACAATGCGCATTGTTGGTTTCATAGCTCCCAAAAACACAACATTGCTATGCACCAGGGACGTTAGTGCTTCATTGCTACAAAAATGCACTAAAATACATTCAGGCCAAGAAGCAACCTAGCAAAATTATGCTGGGCACTATGGACACTTGACATGTTCACCACATTATGACAACATGGGTGGGTCAGTTGCACTCCCCGCTGTCCACACTGCCCCTGAAAATAACAAAATGTGCATAAGCAACGCCCTGGACCTACTGCCTGAAACAGTACAGGGCTTCACAGCAATCCACACACAGTGTCTTGCTTACCCGCCTGAGACACATCGAATGTGAACATGGAGTCATGTGCGCATAGTAGGGATGGTACCTGGGCTGAGAAAACCCGACCAGGGTACCCAAAGTTTCCAGAACTTGGGTACCCGGGTTTACCCAGGTAGCCCAGGTACACTTGATACCCAGGTAATCACCGGTGGCCGGGTACCGGGTACAACCGGTACCCGGATCCGGGTATATACCAGGGTACGGAAACCGGTTTGCCGTGCATTTGGCTGGCTTCTGTCTGACTGAGTCCACGACGACGACGGTGCAAACAGTGCACAGTTTGCGGATGGAGGTGGTGGCACCCGTCCATTTCCATGGACGTGGTATTTCGCCGATGGATGGATGGCGCGTCCACGAAAGGGTGGAGTAGCAGGCCTCCCCTGAAGGCCATGGGAGGCACAAGATCCGCAGCGGATCTCTGCCTATGCATGGCGAAGCGTGGTGCCCACTTGGGCTTCTTGAGGGCGCCAATGCCACTCACGGGTGCCAATCAGGGCACCCACGGGTGGTACTAGTCGGTGGCCCCGAGGAGCAAAAGAATGGGAGTGGGAGCCAGTGCTTGGCCTCCCAATCCTGCTGTGCCAATGTGTGTTTTGAACGCAGGCTCTGGACGCAGCGCAGCTCGTAGTTGACCTTTTGGCGTCTGCCCCTCGTGGGCGCCGATTGATGCCACTCGGGGATGCCAATCAGAGCACCCACGGGTGCCACCAATCGGTGGCCAGGAGTGGCAGCTATGGGAGTGGGAGTGGGAGCAGGAGTGGGAACCAACATTCGGCCTCCCACTCTCGCCATTTTGTGGTGGACACAGCCACACACAGTGCGGTCAGGGGTGACCTTCATGAAAACCAACGCAGTGTGGAGCAACGAACCAAATGACCGCTGGTCAATTGCGCAGTACCCGGGTCTGTACCCGGATAGTCCAGGTACCCAACTGTACCCGCCTACCTGGTTGCAAGGGTTGGCGTGTACCTGGGTGGGCGGGTGCAAGAAAAACCAGTACCTGGCCTGGATACCTGGGTATCCTGTACCTGGGTACCATCCCCAGTGCATAGCCACACGTTAGTCAGCTGTGCATATGCTTTCTCACCTTTGTTGGCAGAGCGATCTCTTCTGTCTCCAGTCCCAGCCCCAACTGCTGAGACATCGAGGCTCCCCACACATACACCCCCTGGCCTTCCACAATGCATTGAGAAACTGTTTGGCAAGCCAAAACTGCTGAAACTCGGAATCCAGGTGGCAAGCCGCCAGCTTCCCCATCTCCCTCGTGCACAGGCGTCGGCACTGGCAGCGGCGCAGGATCGATGCCACTGATGTTTAAATCCTTGCCATCTTCGCCAAGTCGGCCCAGCACTCCATTTGTGGGAGTGCCAAAACTGTAAACCTTCCCTTCACAGCTGAGGACTAGTGTGTGGTGTTGCCCGCCAGCTGCATCCTTGATACCTCCCAGACTGGACAGCGCTTTGATCTCTGTGGCTCGTTCCACAGAATCGCATGGAGGGAGCCCCAGTTGGCCCTGGTTGTTCAAGCCCCATCCATACACCTTTCCGCCCGGCAGCACCGCGAAACTGGCCTCTTGGCAAGCGAAGACGTTCTGCACATGCGAGAGGGGCCCTCTTGCCATCTGAGCAGGTGCAGGGACCAGCTGCTCACCACCCCTCGCCAAACATCCCAAATCACCAACCCCCCATGTCAGGACCTTGCCACTGCCAGTCAGAGCAAGGCAGTGGCTCTCTCCCGACGAGATCTTCTGTACAGATGCCTCCACCACGGTTGTGAGGGTGCGCTGGTTCAGGACCCCCGGAGAGAACCCAAATGGCCCAGCGTTGTTGCGGAAGGAACCGCAACCCAGCACCCTCCCCCCATTGGCCAGCACCAAGGTGTGGCTCCCGCCAGCGTTCACACTCTTTATGCGCATGTTGGCGTCGGTCATGACCATCTGCCCTGGCAGGTTTTCTGCTATGCAGCCTTCCTTTTCATCAGCAGACCATATGTTGGAATCTTCAGTGGGACGGCCCAGTGCCCCATCATCGTTGATGCCCCAGGAGAAGAGAGTGTTGTCTGCAGCCAGTGCCACGGTGTGCATGCTTCCGCATGCAACCATCCTGACCTTCACCTTCAACAGGAAGCAAAAAAACAACAGGGTCAAGCAAATGGGTGGGGGGCTCTACAGCCCAGAAAACTCAGTCAAAACTGACTCAGGAGGGCATCCCGACATCGCCAGCTTGGTGACAGGGCTTGCTTTGCCATGCTTTTGGCACATGTAATTGCAACAGATTTCCACCACTCAGGAGGGCGTTGATGAGACAAAACAGGGATAATACAACTACTGCACACCTAAAACAACAAACTGGTGCATGGTGCATCCCAACAATCTATGCATTGGAGTTCAGGGGACCTCTACAAAGCCAAGGCATGTACCAGGGAAAGGCAAGCCACTCCCTATCCCAGATCAAATAACACATCGATTTCAGTTGAAACTGGCTTGCCAGCTGTTGCATCCAAAGAAACATAACGAGAACTTGTCGTACACTCTTCATATGGGCAGTCCGTAATCCACAATGCACTTCCTCTCATGAACCTGTAAGAATTCTCAATCAGCAGATACTGATGCTTCCACCAGTTCCACCAGGACACAACCAGTTCCACCCTGCCATTGTCTCTCCAGGTGCAAGGGCCTTGGTCTGTTATGCGTTTTTGACAAAAAAAACAGATGGAATTCGCACAACCATCTCTGGCTATGCCCCTTACCTCGCCTGGCAGGGACAGTATTCGTGGCCTAGCTACCTCAGGGATGTCATCGCCCAGCCCAAGTTGGCCCATCTCATTGGATCCCAAGACAAAGATGTCGCCCTTGATCAAACAATCAAAACAACCCATAAGAATCAGCAAAGCCTCTCTTGAACCCTGGAACAATGCAATGTGGTAATGCGATTTTGCCATTCTGCAAGATATTCTTTTGGATTCCAAAATATTGCATCACACTCAAGTCCAGGTGCCAAATACAGTCCCAACAGATGAGATGTGGGCCTCATGCCACCAAAGAACAAAGCGGTAGGCGATTTGAAACCCCAGAGCTCTGCATGGTGCTGCAAATTAAGTTGTTGTGGTCTCAATGAAGCAGTAGATCGATTCATGACACATCGCCACTCAGATCAGCTCGTCCGTCTGTCCCAATCCAACCAGGTGGTCACATGCCTGTTATCGCATTAATGATGCAGGGGCAGGGCTGTGTAATTTGTCCAGACTGCAATCAACAGCGAAACTACGTGGTCATATGCCACAGCAGGCCGCCTCAGCACAGAGAAGACCAATCAGAATAGGCACTGATCTTGCAGCAATTTTGTGAGGAAAAGAACTCTTGTATAAGGGGATAAATCCACACTGGGTATAGCAACGATGGCCTCTAGTGTTCTCACAATTGAATGACAAAGCTGCACCGAGAAGTGCCTGCACAAACGAAATTCCAATCAGAAATTCTGGGTGAGGGGTCTAAATATTTGAGTTTGAACAGCAGTTTTCGCTCCCTGACTGGCAATCATTACCCCTAAACACCCCCAGAAAGAAGCGATCATTTTATTGATGGATGCCCTCACCCGTTCGCCACTGCATTATTTCAAGGAAACCAAAGAGGCAAACTAACATTACCTCAACAAGCTCCAACTTGGCTGTAGCCTCTATCACTTCCACGAGCTTGGCATCAGTGGTGCCATCAGCTATAACCCCGGACACAGGCACCTTTCTTCGTTTACTGGTCTGGCTGGGCTGACTCAGCTCCTGTGACAATGGAGCCACTTTCTGTCTCTTTCGGCTATTCTTGCTTTGCACCCTGCATCAAGCCACAATTTTCTAGCCAAGTCATGAATACAAGTACAAACAAACAGACAATCTGCATTCGTATGCGCCATACACATGAGCAACCTTGCATCATGGCTGCCCCATGAGGCAGCCTTCTCATCCATGTGTACACACCCAGTGTTTTAAAAGACCAGGAGGCCGAGACTCTGGCAACCTGGCAGGTGGACACTGAAAGCAAATGTGTGTGCTCTCTGCCAATCTGCCGATCCGGGCGATGCAACGCCCAGCGCGTGCACGACAGTGCCATGGTGCAAAGAAGTCTGGCACCTGCGTATGTGCTTTCAATCGTGTATTGCATGTAGACTAGTGATGATCCCAGCAAATCTTGTGCTGTTCTTGTGTTCATGAACACAATGTTGCGTGTACACAGCAACTGCATTCAGCCTTTCTTACCATCTGGTCAACAAAGGGTGCAATACAAGGCTGCAAATGGGTGCACCTCTACCTGTGCAACATATGAACGGAATCCAATGCAAGCAAACATTACCTCCTCTTCTTCTGCTTGTCAGATGAGAGAGACTTGTCCTGGAGAAGCAAACCACACCACCACAGTGTCAAAATTCTAAAGTGAGAGATGCAGAGCAGAAGACAGTGACCTTCAGCAAAACATCACAGGCAAATATACACACAAAGCCCACGTGGGGCAGGCAGGCATCGAATGGTGCCCTGCATATGACACGTTTTGCCAATTGGACAGCCTTGAGTTGCCAGTGCCTACCGTGCTTCCATCCGCTCTCCTCTTCTTGTTGTCCATCAGAATGCTGTGCGTCTTTTGGCTAGTGAGAATGCCATGCGTTTTCGCACTGGACACCTGTCGCGCATGACGAGGTGGGAGGATGCGCCTTTTGGATCCCTGTTCAGCAGCCAGCAGCATATGTACAGTGGGCCAACTGGAGATCAGATGATAAGTGCATGTATGGTGCCAGAGGACCGTTCTGCCACTGTTGTCAACAATATTTTGCTTCTGTCATATGAACTACTCAGCAGCATAGGTTGTCACTGAAAATCATGTGTCTGGGGAACGCTAGAGAAGTGACAACCATTAAATAAGGAGGCAACGCGTTTGATGATTGCCTGCTGCATGGTGGAGGTTGACACTGAAAATCATGTGACTGTGGAACGCTAGAGAAGTGACAACCATTAAAAAAAGGAGGCAACGCGTTTGATTATTGCCTTCTGCATGGTGGACTAAAGTAAGCAAAAAGGTGACGCTTGAGGTTTCGATCGTCCAGAAATTCAGGACACGATGCCTGCCTGGTGAAACAGGAGGGAGCCAGCCGTGAGCCCACCTTCCCACTTGCCCCAGACCTATGCACACCAGCAACAGGAACACACACAAAGCAATTCTCCTTGCAATTCTCCTGCGGCAATCCAACTTTGCAAGTTTCAAAAGACCAAGCTCCTGGGCTAACATGTTGTGGTGTTGGACATGATGAAAGGATGGGCAGCGTGAAGATACTTTGCCTGCCAGAGAATGAGCGCCGTGCTGGTGGAAGGATGCGGCTGCTTTGTAGAGATATTCAGTCATGCACAGTACAGTTGCCAAATGTGGCCAGCAGCGCACTGTGAAACAGAGAGCAAAGGCCTCGGGCCTTCCCCAAGAGTCTGTACAATTTTCGCCCTTGTAACCTGGGAGATTCGGAACGTCACCAATGGACGACAATCACTTGGAACACTTGGTTTGCTGATGGATGATGTTCATGAACGATGCTCTGAAACGGTGGGCACCGCCTCTCCGAACCTGATCTTCGTCATCAAAGTCGCTTGGCTTCTTTGTCTCCATTGCGAGCCACACGGCGGGCGGGGTTCACCGCCGCCACTGAATTTCAAGGACCCACAAACGGACCGGGGAGCGGCAACAAGGACGCCAGATCTGCAACCCCTGCGCCCCGTCGTCACCGTCATTCGAAGGACGGAATAACACACTTCAATCAACAGCATTGGGGCGGCACTGGAACGCCCGATGGCCACAAGTGGGATCGTTCCCAGCGGCAGCCTCATACTTCCCTTCCCCTACCCTCACACCCACCCACCCACCCACGGAATACGCGGCCAAGGCAACCGAATCAAGGCTGCCTTCCAACCATAACCGCGCCTTCCACCGATCGAGGAGAAGGGCCGCAGGGCGGCAACGACGGCCCCAAAAAAAGCGCGCCCTCCCGCCCAGCGCCTTCCCAGCCAACCGACGCGCCACCGCCCCGTCGCTGCAGCCCAAAGAGCGCACAGCACACACACACACACAGCCGTCCGACGACTCGGATTTTCTGGGAAAACAGCATCGCGAGCGGCGAATCGCGCCACCCTGCCGGGGCAATCGGGTTCGGCGGACGAGACTGAGGCAGGGTACTGCTCCACCCCCCGCGCCGAATCCTGGCGACGCGCGGGTGTACCTCGAATAGCGGACCGCCAAGCGTGGTGCAGGTAGAGCAGAGTGCGATTGGTGGGGGGCGGGCGAAAGCCGCGGGAGCGGCGTGAGGGACGCCCTGGGAACCTCACCACAAGTGGTCCGCCGCGGACTGGAATGCAGGCGGGTGGTTTCGGGCGGGACGAGGGGCGCGGGCCAAGGATGGTGGGAAAGAGGATTGGAATGTTTCTGTCAGGGGCAGCGGTGCCAATAGGAGGGGGGGACTTGCAGCAAATCAGGGTGGGATGTCACAGCCACCGGTAGGAGAATTGGGAGAACCGACATTTCCAGAGCCAAAATGGCGCCTTTGAAACAGGCAGCGTACAAGAAAGGTGTCTCAACTTAGTCCTGGACCAGGCGAGGAAGGGGCAAGAGCAATTTCTGAAAAGAAGACAAGTTAGTTGGAGTTATTTGCCACAGTGCAAGGATGAATTGTAAGTGCTGGGATAGTTTGCTTCACTTTTTTAAGTGCAGTGCCTATAAACACAGTAGGAAGATAACCTTACTGTACTTCAAATATGTGCAAACCTTCCACATCGTAAAGTAACAGCTGGCCTTTTTGTGCTAAGCGATAGTAAAGAATGTAATGGTATCCATAGATTGATTCGGAGCAGCCAATAAAGTAACGCTCTGGCTAGCTTCAAGTCCTTCTAGGTTCGCCTCAATGCGTAGTGCCGCTGGGCAACAGTGCTGCACCCAATAGCCACTTGTGAGTCGCCCTTGCCGCTGACAAACCGGCACCCGCCTCGATGCTTGCATTCTTTAGTTTGGTTGTGTTCCTAACTGTTCAGCATAGAGGGCAACCACACTACCATAAGCACTATACATCTATTTGGGGAAACAACATTAGGATGCCACATTTTGAATCAACCATGTGGGTTCGAACACGATACTCCATCATTATATCGCTTTGAAAATGGCAGAACCAAAAATGGCGTCCCCATATGGCTTTGGATTCGCGCAACGACGTGGTGAATGTAGCTGGCGCCCAATTAGGGCTGGGAAATTTCCGGTCAGGTGAGCCCTTCCTTTAAAACGCGTCATTAGATAAAAAAATTGGCAAAATGTTTCCTTGCTGCCGTCGAGCAACCGCATAACTGTGAGACCACATGCGCAAGTAAATTATTGCAAGGGTTGCTGTTTGTTTCTATTGCATTCTGCATCGGTACATTCTGGCAGGCTTGGTATTTGCATGTGCGTTTTTGTTTACTTTTTTGCGTTTACGTTCTTAGGCGTAAGTTACAAAATTGCCAAAGGGGCTATTTTAAAGATATTGTAATGCTTGATGGCTCGTTGGGTCACCCAGGTTGCACGATGAAAGTCGCGGACATTGATAAATTCTCCGCCATCTCCAGCACCCGCAATACAATGTCCACCTTGCCCTCAGCAAGGGTAATGGCGGCAAGGAAAAAAGATTTGTTTTCTACCTATTCCAGCGCGTCTGACTGCCACTCCCCAGACTCTCCAAGTCTGTATGTATTGTCCTTATATACACGGGGCTGTAGTTAGGTTGTATTTACTTACTGTTACGCGTTTTCACGCGTAAAAATGTAAAAACTATTGTTGCGCCTAAAAACGTAACACTGTTTGTGTTTAAAGCGTAGATACGAAGCCTGTATTCTGGTATGTAATACGACTTGCACTAATTGAATCTGAATCAACACCCTGCCTTTCCGAAATGGTGCTTTTTAATAAAGGCTGGCATGATTTAGACAAAGAAAATGATATTTTGCCCTTGTTTTCTCATGGGAGACGCCATGCTGAGATGAAGCGCAAGCTCACCAATGAGTGGCAGAAAATACGTGAAGAATAATGAGGAAATAGTCAAATTCGTTTGGTCGATGATTGTATGCGACGGCATTGGTATCGCAACTGACAGCGCACTTGGGGCAATTGTAATTGGATATTTGATACGGTTTGAAACGTGGAATGTTCCCAGCACCAGACACAGGCAGAGCATTCTGACACAGGGGGTAAATTCTCCCCCCTGGAGAGGACCGACAGCCCTTCACAACCGCTCTGGGGGCGCCCTTCTGGGGTCTTATGTCACAGGTATGTGGGATTTCATGGACTGGACAGTTGCACCTGTAATTTGTCCAGCAGTTTGTATTGCCGGCAATGCGAAAGTTTTGGGTGCCCAAAACTGCGCCCACGGGACATGATGCGGAGGGGAAGAATACAGAGATAACCATCATTGGAAATTTTGTAGGCGTTGATGCAACATTGACGGGTTGATGCAAAAGGGTTAACTAACAATGGTAATCAACATTGGTGAGCTGCACTTGAATCCATAGCGCTGTGACGTTGCTATTTATTAAACCTCCAACAAGGCACCTTTGTGCAGAGTCAAATCGGCACCTTTGACATAGGCGATGCAAAAGAAGCACCAGTCTCGTCCTAATCCTGGACGAGGCGGTGAATGGGCAAAAAGACTTTAGTCCGTGCTGGTGGGAGATGTTGGCTAGGGGGCATGGTTGTGCTGTAACTGCTGAAATTATTTGAGCTAATTAGAGCAGCGTTTGCTGTCCATCGCATTTGTGTGAACCAACATTTCCAGCCCCCAAATGGCGATTTTGACGCAGGGGATACAAAATTGGTCACGATCTACAAATTTGCTCAACAACGTAAGCACAGGAATCATTTGTCTAAAAATGGATGTCTTGCATCCCGATCATCTGTTGCCATGACTTGATTTGGCAGCTTGCATTCATGTGAAATCAAAAACGAAAACCTCAATGTATGGGGGGTAAATTCCAACGATTGTGTAATAACGTTTCAGGTATTCAAATCTTTAGCAGTTGCTTCATTCAGTTTTAAATCCCAATGCCACACAGCGCACATATCCTTAATGTTTCCATGTGGTAGCGCAAGAGAATGTGTGCGAAAAAAGGTACCTGATGCTATGATTGAGACAAAATTTCACTGCAGCTGTGTTGCGCACGAATGACTCACACTGCAGATGTTTGGATAGGCTTGGAGGCTAAGCGCCAGTGGGTGCAGCGTTTTGTTGTGTCAAATGCCTGCAGCAGGTGCTGCAACATAAGCGGATCCTCACCAGGCCTCATGTGCGCTGCTCATCATCAAGGATATGCATACAGTTACATATAATTAGCAGCCATGGAGGAAATTCCACATGGAATCCGCGTTGTGCGTGGGTGAAATTGCCAGCAATATTGCTAACCCACTTAACTAGATGCGTGTCCTCAGACTGACCCACAGTGTTTTTGGGCATCAAATCGCACTGCCCCCCTCCCCGCAAAATCCCTGGAGACCCGGATATTCGGACATTGGCGAGTCAAGGACAGGCGTACAGGTTTTCATATGGTTATCAATGGTAACCATTTTCATATTGTTATCATATGGTAACTTACCATATAATAACTGTGAGGATAAGAAAAAGGTGTATAAGTAGTTAAGTGAGTGTGGTGCATGGGGTACGGTCTTTATTATGGTGACATGGAGAATGATGGGGGAAAGACACGAACTAAACATACTTGCAGTGAATGCTATATGACAGACAGAACCATTCTGTAATCTATCTGGTTGCGGCTTGCTCCTTGTGCCTGGGGGCGACCGTGTGTGAGCGCGAGCGAGGAGCGCGAACAGCAAAACCGCATAACATGGTTTTGGAGCCCAGGTCGCGCCGGTCATGGAGACCGGCCTGGCGAGCCTGGTGGACATGCTGGCTTATTTTGCTGGCACTTGAGCCGGGGATTGAGGTCGATCTCGGAGCGACCTGCGGCGGTCTTGGCCGAGTATTGAACGGCCGAGATCGTCGCAGGCTGTGGCGCAAAGTGCAGCGATGGGAGGCCTTCCACGCGTGGCGAACATTCGCCCACCATTGGCGCAAACGGGAGTGGTGGAGACGGGAAGATTCGGCGGACGCGGGAGCGACCTCGAACT